ACTTTGAGGGACCTAAGATGTGACTCTAAAGCAAAGTGGTGCAATTCAGGGCCTGTATTTACAAAACATCTCAAAGTGCACAACACTGCTCCAGGATCAGATCTTCCCATTTCAGTCACAATATAAAACAACACAAATGACTTTGAGATGCACTTTGTCAATATGGCCTGTTTGGAGTAAGCAATTCATTACCAGACAATGCAGCTGTTTTTTTTTTCTGATCGAGTCAGCTATATGAAATTGAATCTGTACATATTACAAATCATGTTAGAAAAAGAATGCTTTAACCTGCAGTTACAAATGCATAAATAATGTTTTGATATTTTAATCTTAAAATGTTGAATACTGATATTTCAAATGATTTAAAAAATATATAAAAAGGTACTTTAAAATGTGAAATTAAAACCGCCAGTAGGTGGCAGCAAGTCACTGTTAAGTGAGTCATTGCGATTGAACCGAATCATTCAAACAGTTGATTCATTCAGGAACGAAACACTGTCATGTTTTTCAGAGATGCAAAACAGTGCTGTGGCTGTGTTTGGAACCATTTTTGTTGGCGAAATAGAGGAAAAAATAGTCAATGTGGTGTCTAAAACGTAAGTCTCTTAATATTAACTTCTTGATTATTGAACTGTTGTATAAAATCAATATCACATTTGTGATTTTTGCGAGAAAAAAATGTCACTCTTGGTGTGATATTGATCAACTATATGAAATGATATAAATGTATACATTTTCTGCCCCATATCTGCATTTTATTATACTGAATCATGCAGTGAAAGAACACACTCTAAATGAGCATTCAGTCTAGCTAGTGTTTAAGCACTATAACTCCTCTTATAATCAATAAAGCTGCCCATACACGGTATGATAAATGAATCTTTAACTTACATCGTTCGTACATCTGCAATTTGTTGCTTATGATGAGGGAATTCGCGAGTTTCAGTCTGAACAAAACTCTGGGGTTTTAGCGATGACTAGTTTGAATGCCTCTGATTGGCTACTGCATTCCTTAGCTCAACAGAATCGTGTGTGATTGGTTATAATGAGCAACGCTGTAAAAACGCGTAAAAATAAAATATGTAACATAAGCAGGTCTAAATTTAATACAGCAATCGAAATTTCATTTTAAGTGTTAAAGTTTTATTGAAAAACCAAGTATATATTTTTTGGGTGTTATGGGGGGTCCCTTAATGCTTATGGGAGGTCCCCATAGATTTAATTCCCTCTCAAATGGGAACTCTACGCTGCGTTCCCCAGAGGGCACTATGGGGAATGCTTCCGGCATGACTGGTGTCTGAAGCATGAGTCTAAACACGACAATGAACTTGACATTGGCAGGCGGCAACCTATGACATCACAACTGGTGAGGCCCAGAGTATGAAAGAAAGAACACACTTTCTAAATTTTGCGGAGCTAGTGCTTGCCATAGTTTGCCTGTTTAGACACACACTGAAACAAGCGGTCTCCTGAAGACAAGAAAGAGGGTGACGCATTTTACAGGTGCCCTTTTATACTCTCAGCCGCACCAGTTGTGACGTCATAGGCTGCCGCCTGCCAATGTCATGTTCATTGTCATGTTTAGACTCATGCTTTAGACACTGTTCATGCCGGAGGCATTCCCGATAGCACCCACTGGGGGACCCAGTGTCTAGTTCCCCTTCTCAGGGAACCATGGTTACATGCGTAGCCTGAGACGTTTTCTTAATTTTATGCAAAATATAATTCTATATAATTTTCTACTCTATATAAATACATAACGTCCGAAATTAAATGACCTTATTTAACAATTAACCTCTGGCACAAATTAGAAAGTAAATTAGTGAAGTGTTGATTGCAATCTGAAACATTATGAAAAATAATATTGTGTGTGCATAAAGCAATATTTCTTCTATTTTGTTCAATACACTCAACATGAAGCAAAAATACTTAGTGGATTGAAACATTAACTTTTATTTTTTTTTTCCTAAAAAAGGATCAAATATACAGTTGATATAATTTAATATGCATATTGCTACATGCAAAGCAACTAGACAGTTTGATCAGAAAGCTATGATAAAATGGTTAAAGTAGCTGCGGGAGAAGCCCAGGAGATTACAGTGCTCTTATACGTCTCTTAATAACAACAGTATAGAGAGAAGACATACATTCATCAATTGAACTTTGAGGGACCTAAGATGTGACTCTAAAGCAAAGTGGTGCAATTCAGGGCCTGTATTTACAAAACATCTCAAAGTGCACAACACTGCTCCAGGATCAGATCTTCCCATTTCAGTCACAATATAAAACAACACAAATGACTTTGAGATGCACTTTGTCAATATGGCCTGTTTGGAGTAAGCAATTCATTACCAGACAATGCAGCTGTTTTTTTTTTCTGATCGAGTCAGCTATATGAAATTGAATCTGTACATATTACAAATCATGTTAGAAACAATGTATTTGCATAAAACAAGTGTTTTATAATTATAAAAGGACATTCTGGGTCATCGGCAAAGCATCATATTAATTTAAACAATACTCTGCTGATTGAATGGAGCACATCACTGATTAGTGGACATGCATGTCAATGACACAAGTAATTAAGTAATTGAATAATCTAACTCCATCTGCTCAATGCTGCTCCAACACCATCCAATTATTAAAAAAAAAAGCCCACCTGATACACAACAGTCCACAATGCAATGCGAGGTAGTGAAACACAGATACAGTTCACACTTTCATATCATGTTTAAAATATTTATATACTTATGGAGTGTAGAATGTGGTTGCATACTCCTTGCCACAGAGAGGATTGTGAAACAGTTCTTTGTGGTATCGAGGGCTTGATAGAAAAAGGAAGAAAAAACGGCTGATAAAGATCTGAAGAGCAAGAACAGAATGTACTGTAGCACAGACCGGATTCTGCAGCAAAGCGGATGAGAAGGAGAGAATATAGACCGCTTTCTTGCTTTGGAACATTAATTGAAACTCACAAAACCTGTCAATAACATGTCACCCCACAGCCAGAAGAAAAAATGTAATTATATTGAATGAAGCCTATTTTAGGACCATTGTTATTTATTTAGAATTATAATCCTCCCCTCTAATTCTCCCCAACCATAATGGAAAAAATAGTATAATATTTATTTAAATTGTAAAGTATCTGCTGTATTTCCCTAAATGTATGCTTATTTTTAAATGTACAATTATTGTATTAAAGCAATTTTTTTTTAAATAATATTGTATAAAATCACTGTACAGTAATAGAGAAACATGGAAATAATCATGACATATAACATTTATGGTCCTAAAAATGAAGGCTTAATTTTCTTAATTTTTTTGAAAATTAGAATTAATTCTTTATATAATATATATATATATATATATATAATAGATAGATAGATATAGATAGATAGATAGATAGATATAAACTATTTTAATTATATATATTTTCTTTTGACTTGGGGTGAAATGTGAGATTCGCCAGATTCTGTATGAATGAGATATTAAGTGATTTGGGTATCTGTGCTTGATACAGATTTGATTATTGTGGTAGTGTTAAGCCACAAATAAAGACATTCACAATGATTCAAGAAGAGACAAAAAGGAGAACAAGCTCCAAAAACATCAATGTGTTTTGTGCAACAACATGTTTTTTTTTTCCCATTTTGTTTTTGTAATGCATTTACTGAAAAATGACAAATAGCATAACATCAACTATTTATGGTGTCAGATTTGGAAGCTGTTAGTTTAAAAGTAGTATTTCCACAGCTAATGAAGCCATGAAACACAGGTTAAATGTGTTAAAGCAGATAGAAAGAATGAATTCACAGGTTAAAACAAATTCATTATAAAATATGACAATTGAGGCATAAAAACGTATTGCCTATAATTCTAGCTATTGCTGGTTTGGTTTGGTGAATATTACTCTTTGGTCAGTTAAACTGTAAACCTCTAGAATCCAAGATGACACGACTCGCTGTGTTGATGTAAAAATGTAGTTCTATGGTCTATATTATTTGGCTTTCTAATACACAAAACATAGAGAAACCTGTGTATTACTACAACTGAACAAACAATCCAAAAGTGTGTGTGTGTGTGTGTGAGTGTACGTGTGCAGCCAGACTAAAAACTATCTGAATCTGTTAGATGTTTAACACCGTATCTACACCAGACACCTGCGACAAAACTAAATTCCTCCGGTCATAATCAACGGAGTTGTCTACACTGTGTGCACCTGATGTGGACGCCCGCGTCTCCATTTCATATCTAAAATGAAGTGATTTTATTAAAAAATATCATTTGCTCAATTTCTTTGTTATAAATTGTATTCTTTACAGGTTTAAATAAATTCTGACCGTTATATCAAAAGCCAGCTCATGATGTTTCTGATCTGACAATCATTTTAATCATTTTTTATTTTTATCCATATGCACATGCAGTTGTAGGAACACGGACATATGTAAAATTTATTATAAATTTAATCAAACGCAAAATCAATTCTATAATGGATTTCTATAGAAAACAAATTTTCAAGTGATTTGTCATTTTGCTAATCGCTTAAGTTCAGCCTTCTATACTAATTTTAATGATTTTTTGATTTCTAACAACATGCATGTGCAGTTGTAGGAATACAAACATATGTAATATTAACAACAAAGTTAATCGTATGCAAAATACATTTTTCTAATGGATATCTGTAGAAAAAGATTTTTAAAAAATGTTATAGTCATTTGAATAATCGCTGAAGTCTAGCCGTCTGGTCTGACTTATTAATTTAAATCATTTTATGTCATGTCTAACCATAAGCATATGCAGTTGTACGAATACGAACACACATCAAATTATCAAATCAATCACATGCAAAATCAATTTAATGCATTTCTGTTAAAAATAAAGATGTTTTTTGTCTGATCGATTGTCATTTTAGTAATCGTCGATTACTGAAGTCTAGCCTCGAGCTTCCTGCT